AGTGAAGAGGAATACGTGGCCCTCTGTGTCCTCACCATGTGGTTCTCTGGTCCTATTACAGTAGTGGCCTTACTGAGCCTGTTAAGCCCTATGCAAAATTAGCATAGGTGGCAGTTGCTCTGGGCCACCCAGAGGGATATAATTAAGCAAAACAGAGTTCAAATTCAATCGTCAACACTGTAATTCAATTATAGTATTATTTGCAGGTACATCAAAGGGACTAATCGAGAGGAAGATCAGATCAAAAGTTAACATGAACCAGAAGCTACAACAATAGTCTTCTGTACTAAAAATAAATCTTTTTGACAAGTGTCCTGGAGTCTTTAACAGTTATCTCTTCCCAATCTTCTGGCATAAAATTCCAGGCTTCCAAACAAGTAGTCACACCCAGGATATATCAACTTAGGGTTCAAGAATTCAAGAAAGTTTCATGTAATGGCCCTATTTCTGCTTTCAAGGCATTTCTTTTTCACCTGCCTCCAGAGCCTCTGAGTGCCTGAGATGAGGGTTGCCACCCTATGGCTCAGGACGGGCATATTTGGCACTTCAGCATCAGGATGTCCTCAGAATATTCCTGGCCAGGTGGTTTTTGGGAGTGATAATCTCCTGCGTTATCTGCACTCATTGAAGGAGGGGGACACTTTTTCTTTTTAATTAAATGCTTAATTACATAAATACTGATATCACTTATCATAAGTGTACTCTTTTTGGAAAGTGAACAGTAGCCTATAAATTACAGAGTAATTTATAAAGGGAAATTCCTTGTTATGCAGTGTTATGATTATATATAATCATTATTGAAGGAATTGTGTTAGCTTTGGTAGGAATCAATGTTGTTTTTGCATAAACGGTTGCTATTTGGGGTTGGTGTGTGCAGGAAGCCCGTAACATCTTCTTCCATTGAAATAAGTGGTAATTGTGTTTTCATAAAGTGAGAGAATATGGCCCTGGGGTACTCATTTGAGAACTTTAACAGACGCGAAAGCAATGGTGTTTTGGTAGTGTTGGCACTACATGATATCATTTGACTTCACATTAATAAGAGAATTGAAATAAAGAAAGGAGGATTTAAACGTTTACACAAAAATGTCATTCCTGCAGGATCTTTGGTGTCATAATGTGGTGCTACAGTTTGAGTCTTTCTTTTACCTGTGCCACTCTTTAAGCAAAGGAACCCTTACTGGAAAGTCTAATGTGTAAGAGAGATAAGAGCAAAGTCACTCTATCTAAGGGTTTGGGAGCAACAAGAGAACTGGTTCTTGCTCCAGTGAGCTCTTTACTCCTACAGACAGCCCCGCAGAGCTTCTGAGGCCCAACTACACACCACCATAACACTAACACAGAAACCAGAATAGCCCAGAAGAGACTTGGATAGCCCTGGGCTCAAATCTTAGTTCTGTAATATACTTGCACTATGACTTTGGGTGGTAAAAACAATAAAGTCAACAGTAATATCAACAAAATAAGCAGTAACTTACACCAACTGAGCACTTACTAAGTGCCTTATTTGCATTAATTTAATCATCTCAATTATATGAGATAGGTACGGTTATTACCACTTTTATATATAAGGAAACTGAGGCTCAGAGAATTAAAGCAATTTGCCCAAAGATTCCACAGCCAGGGTAAGTGGCTGAGCTGAGATTCAATCCCTAACAGTCTACATTAACAACGATTAAAATTCCTAAACTCTTTGGTCCAGTTGAGCCCAACCATCCTGAAAATAAGGAGGATATTAACAGCCTTGAGGCAAAGTCTCTGGCAAACTGGCATTCAATAATTATCATTCTTTTGATCCTGAATGGCATAGAACATATGCCCTCCAGACACTCCCTAATAACCTGTGTTGAATTGTCTGTCAAATGGTGCCGATCAAACACTGCATAAGCCAATTACTACTTTAAAGATGGTTCACAGGATGTGCCAACCACCAAGTCTTAAGGAAAAAAAAAATTAGTGATCTGTTATTCTAAAAGAATCAGCCAAACAAAGGCACTAGTACAGAAAATGAGAAATGAAGTTCAGTATGCAGCCAGATAGAGCGTATGTACAGAAAACACTAACTGCCTTCTAACCAGTGAAAAGGAGAACCTATTCACCAAAGTAAATAAAACACATTCAATACATGTGACAAATGTTTATGAAATGAATGTTTCTGCGCTACAGACCAAATGAGGCACCAGAGACCTGGAGCAGCAAAACCTCTGTCCTCATGGAACTTACATTCTGGTACAGGAGGCAGATAATACACAAAGAGACAAAAATGAATGTCATCGGTCAGATAGTGGTAAGTGCTGCAAAGAAATATAAACAGGATATGTGGACATAGAGTGACTTGGGAGAGGTGTCACGGGAGGCCTCCCTGATACGGTGATATTTCAGTAGATAGCAGATGGGCGTGTACCAGGAAGAGACATCCCAGCAGAGAGGACCGCAGGCACACAGGCCCGCAGACAGCCAGCGCTCCCAGCCAGCATGAGATAAGCCACAGGGAAAGTGCTACGAGTTGCAGCCATTAAGGCAGCCTCAGGCCAGGTCACATAGGGCATTGCTGGCTATGGCGACTTCAGAGTTTTACCCTAACATGAAAAGTCATTAAAGAATTTTGGGGAGAGAAGTGATATGATTTATGTTTTAAGGATTACACTGTGGACAACAGCCTATAAGAGGGCAAGAACAGAGCAAAGACCACTCAGAAGTCTATGCATTAATCTTGTAGATCCTGGATGAACCTACTGAGGCAAGTTCAAGCCCTATGCAATGAAAACCTCAAAACTCCATCAGGTCAAATAATGGGCCTGAATAAATCAGAACTCTGCTCTGTCTCTAGAGAAGACTTCACATGATAAAGATTCTTTTTGTCTCTTCTTAATTTATCAAGAACTAACATTTTATAGTGCTACACACCAGGCACTGTTCTAAGCACCTTACCTGTATAAGCACAGCACCCTCTATGGGGGATACTATTATTATACCCATTTTAAATATGAGGAAACCACCCTGGCTGGAACTCAGTTGGTTAGAATACCATCCCAATACACCAAGATTGTGGGTTTAATCCCCAGTCAGGGCATATATAGGAATCAACCAATGAATGCGTAAGTAAGTGGAAGAACAAATCAATGTTTCCCTCTCCCTCCTTTCCTCTCTGTCTCTAAAATCAATAAGTAAGTAAGTAAATAAATAAATAAATAAAAGGAGACTGAGGCACAGATCATACAAGTTACTTGTAGGATTTGTAGAGTTAAAATTTGAACTAAGCAGTTTGGCATTCTATAGGCGCCCCTTTTGACTAACCTTAAAAGAATGTCTTAGAGCACCACTCTACAAAACTGAAACATGTTCCTGATGGAGTGGCCCAGGAAGCCCTTCCAGAAAGAACCTGCCAGGATGGAGGGCTAAGGAAATGAAAGGAGGAGGGAGGTGTTGTGCCAGAAGAGCAGGAGGGTTCTCCTGGGTTCCAATCAACCCCAACCAGGGCCACTCCCTCCACACCCTTCCCAGGGCCTCACCTGCAGAGCCTGGACCAAGGCAAGGCCCCGAAGGATGCAGCCACACAATCCTCTCTGAGACAGAGGGGATTCTGCCAGAGGCTCTGTCATTTTTTGAATGCCTGTGTGGAGAAGTTAGGAGGCAGGAAGAGGGACTGAGCCCACACAGGCTGCCCTCTTCAGGAGGCGTCTCATTCACCTCCCACCACCATTGGAGAGCTCTGTGCCCTGCCAGGGGCTCTCCCAGAGTCTCCTCCTGGCTCCTGGCTGAGGGCTCAGCAGTGATGCCAACCTGAGCCAATCTGAGGGTCTGACCTTGTGGCTCTGATTTCATTTCAATGCTCACAAGCCCCAGGGAGTGCCCAGGTAAGACGGAAAAGTTTGCTAGGAAATCCACATTCTGGACTGTTTCCTCTCAATAGGGTTTCGGGGGCCCTTACCTAGAACAGGACATCCCAACCTATGAAGCCTATGGAAAGTGGACATTAGTCATAGCCTCCCAAGGGACCTCATGTTCCCTGAGAAATTAAGGGCCTGAAAGATGAGAGCTAGAACATGTTACAGTCCCACCAATAACATGAGGAAGCTTCGACACACAGACAACCTCCCCATCCCAGGCACAAACACCCAGAACCCTCAGTGGGTCAGATGTGCCTCTGCAGAATGAAGGAAAAGCAAATGCCTGAAAAGGGACAGTGTCAGGTAGCCTGTGTGTATCCTGGGCTCTAGCCACACTCAGTCCAAACATTCTTCCTCCAGCCATAGCTCCATACAATGGGGAGCAAAGCCCCAAAGTAGCACCCCAAGTCAGCAAACAAGGTCACTGGCCTGCATCAGGTAAGGACAGAAATAGGCCCATTGGGAAAGATTTCCAATGACAGGTTTGTTCTAACCAATATGGGCTCGGTTGCCACTATCAAGGAGTTAATCGACTCCAGCAGCCCACTGACAGCCCTTTCCTAACCAGTTTTGCTGGGTCTTTTCTAACTGGCTAATTCAAACGTGAAACCAAGCAGTTGCGATGGATTAAAACCAACACGGCATAAAGAACATTCTCTGGGTGATGTGGTGAAGCAATACAAAACTGCCTCCTGACTCCCAAATACACTGGAGACCAGCTGGGGAGGTGAGCTGACACCTGTGTTAGGCTGCAACGTCAGCTGGACTTCAAGGTTCAGCTCGACTGTCGGAAGCCATGTGCCCTGAAGAATTTACAACAAAATCAATCTCACTGCACCCAAACTGCCTGTCAGCCAGGATCTAAACCGTGACACAGTTTGTGCATGCCAATATGTGGTATATCCACCCTGTCTCAACAGAGACCTAAACACACACCAGACATCACCGTTCTACAAGTCTGTACTCTTCGAAAAGAGATGGCATGCACAATAAAATACAATAGCTCTAACAAGGAGCTCCTCTCTGTGCCGCACAGAAGAGTGACGTGAGAGAAAACACCCTCTGCGCTGTGCAGGATGAGCCGTCAGTCACCAGCACCCCTGCTCGCACCTGCGATGATCCCGTCCATCTGCTCCAGGGCAGCTTCCAGCGCGTGGCTGGCCTCAGAAGCCATGACTCCTTCTCCCAGCTCAGTCTCCTCCTTCTCTTACTGAAAATTCAAATAAAAAACAAAGGAAAAATTACAGAGCGTCCCACATGACGCACACAAGATCGCAATGCTCTCTTATTCCCTCGTCGTACAGCACGGCTCAAAAGAATCCTGGTGGCTGGCCTGTGGTTTCCGCCATCTCTGTGGCCTCCCCCTCCTGCCGTGAGAGCCCCTTTTCCATGAATCTTTAGCATATGATGCCATTTGCTTCGGTAATGAAAAGCCACTAGGGCTCTCTGGAGTCACCTGTAGCAGCGAGACAGTGATTGCCACTGTTCAAGCTCCCATTTGCATTCCCCTGAGCTGTGTGCTTCCAGGACTGCTGAGGCTCACTGCCTGTGCCTGAACCTTTCCTGGCCTTTGCACCCATAAATCACTGCCCTCCTCCTCCACATGCATGTTTGCTTATCTTCCTTTGCCATGCCTCCCTCATCCAAAGGACTCAGCCTCTTAGGGTTATCTGGGTTCTGTCTCCCTGAGTTTAGTTTAAAGTCTCTCATCCACTGAGCTATCCTGGCACAAATATACCCTGAGGTTATGTCCTCACCTTAAAAAAAAAATAACAAAACAACAACAACAACAAAAAAGAAGCTAACATACATTGATCACTTAATGTGCAAGGGATTATATTAAGCATTTTCTATGAATTATTAATTGGTCACTTAATTGTGACACCAAACCTGTGAGTTAGGTGCTGTTATGTTATTATCCTTATTTTACAGATAAGGATATTGAGGCTCAGAGATCACACAGTAAATGGAAGAACTGAGTCAAACTCTGGCTCTTTCACTACTACAGACTGGTTTGGACCAGTATGGTAAATTGCGATCCTAACATTCTTATCCACACCGTCTCCAAAGCCGCTTTTCTATGGCTGCTCACTTTCCTCTCTTCGCTCCAAAGGCCTGATGTCACAGCCCCGACGCTCAGGACCTAGTTTCCTGGCCTACACCATTCTTGGGAATGGGAGCCGCGCCCCCTTCTCCCTCGCACTTGTATCCACTGGGCACACACATAGGTTTTGCTGAATGAGCAAACAAACAACAACTCCTGCCTCCAGTTTACAGACATGAGCTAAGTCTCTTCTTACAATTATAAATGCTGCCACCCAGGGAGTGGGAGGATGCAGGAAAAATGAAAGAGGCCACAGGAGGACAGTTTAGTTTACAGACTGTTCTTAGAGGTAGAGTGGCCCAGAGATGGAACCAATGGCCATCTCTCCCAGTAGCAGGGAGATTCAGCATTAAGGGAGTGGCTGGACTGTGTACCCTTGGAGAAGCTCCCCAGCCCTCGGGGTTCTGCACCTTGAATGGTGCTGGGTAGAGCAGAACTAAAATTTTAAGAGACAGTGCTCCTGATTCCTGGGACAGCGCTCTCCCCTTGGCAGTGCACCCACAGCCTAGGGCACATGGGACCATTTGAAAAGTGAAAGTGGCAGTGGAGGCCTCTCAGCCTGGAAGCACAAGTCTCGGGGAAATGAGAACAGGAGCTTGCAGAGGGCGGAGCCTCGCTGGCACCTCAGCGCCAGGGCTGGAGGCAGGCAAGGCTACAAAAAGGAACAGAGCTGGTCCACAGTGAGTAGTACAGCCCAGGAGGCCACAGAGCAAGCACAGTGTGCACAGCTTGGGGTCTAAATGGAAGCAAGCATGGGCGGGGGCGAAAGAAGAGGCAGCAGGAAAAGGTATGCAGCAGAAGCAGGGCAATGTTGAGCGCATTCACACCTGTTAAGCTATCTGGGCTAGCAGAAGTTCGAAACCCTTCCCTTTGAGGACTTCCCACTGTTTCCAGGAAAAAATCCGAACTCCTTCCAGTGATCTATCAAAGGGGTGTGGCAGGATGGCTCCTCGTGCTTTAGTCTCCCGTCCCCTCTGCCAGGAGCTCACTTTCTCAGCAATCTGAACTGCTGATTTATTCTCATCCTTCAGGTCTCAGCTACTGAGTACCTTGAGAGGACTCCCTTGCAAAACCCCATCGAAAGCAGCCCCTGGAAGCACAGCAGTCACACAGGATCTTGTCCATGTATTTGTTTCCTTGCTAACTGGCCTGCTAACCCCCTCCATAGAGGCAGGGGGACCCTATCTGCCTGTTCGCCCCTATGTGTCCAGTGCCTAACAGAGTGCCTGGCACAAGGAAGTTTGCGTAAATGCTTGTGAACAAATGGATGGATTCATGCAGCCAACACTCCCTGAATCCTGCTGTGCTAGGCCCTGGGGGATATTGATAAATCAGACCTAGACTCTGTCCCCATCAGCCACGTGGTCTAAAGCAGAAGACAGAACTACGAGCAGAGCATTATGACACAATGTGAGGCATGCTGAAAAAGGCAGGTATGCAATTTCCCTGGGTTCTGAAGGATGAGTAGGAGTTTTCTCAGAAGATAAGAGGAAGAATGCATTCCAGGCAGAAGATGTAGTATGTAAAGGTAGAGAAGTGTGTAAGGGCAGGATGTAGTTGGCAAATGTCAAAATGATTGACAAGATTACACAGGAGCATCCAGTTGCTCAAGATGAGTCAAAACCTTGTGCAGAATACACATAAGCATGACAAGGGCAATTAATGAGAGGAGCTTGGGAATCACACCCACTATTTCAGGGGTATGGATACCAGTGAGCAACAAATCAAGTGACCTCAGATATAAACAGATTTTAAAAAGAAAGATCTCCTGGTTCAGTAGATTGGCCCCATTTGGAGCCCTACTGCTAGGGTAAAAGGTGGGAAGCAGGTAGGCCATTAAAATGACCCTTGGAAACAAGCAAAAAAACAACAAAAAATGACCTTCGGGCCCTCTGCCCAGTGATGACTTTGTACCTGGCAAATAGCAGGCTGGGTGGACCCGTGGGAGCTGGCATGAAGAGAAGCATGAGTCAAGGGCGTATCATACTCACAGCCCAGGAGCCTGGCGCTGGTAAGCTTGGGAGCACTCAGGAGCGCGGAACCTGCTGACGAGCTCAGAGGTGATGGCAGGACGAGTGTCTGAGAATGGACCCTACCAGCCTCTGTCACGGGGCAGCTGTGCAGTGTCAGTGTGGTACAAATGAGACCTTTGAAGGGAAAAGCATGCAATGGGAGTGACACCTCTAGCCCTCATCTATGAACACAGACACTCTTATTGGAATAGGAAGGCATGAGGCCACCAATCATTTCCATCTGGCAACTGTAGCCATTTTCTCCCTTCACCACTGTCAAGGTTTGAGCGCCCATCAGAAATGCATGATGGGAAAACCCTTGCCCTCCAGAAACATGGGTCTCAGAGGCAAACATGTCGCCCGGCAGCAGCCAGTGTGTCTGGTGTCTTCTGTGTCTGCTCATCCCTGAAGAGACACATCGCCTGGGAGCCTGGGTTCACCATAGACTGGGGCTCAAGGACAGGAAGCTCCATGCCAGGAGGCCTCCTGGAGGGAAGCGAGGCTAAGAGGCCAGAGAGTGCACCTGGAAGAGGCAATAACCGAAGGGCTGGGAAAGAGAGCCGGATTCAGAGTGTACTCTAAAGGGACAAGAGAAATCGGGGCAACGGCCAAGCAGGTGGTGGCAAGCAGAACTGAAACCATGTTCTCTACCAGAGAGAGGGCAGCTGTCGCAGCCAGCCAGGGGCTGACATGGAGTGGAAGACACAGGGACAGACACTGTGCCCTGGGGGCCCTGAGAAGAGGCGCCCCACCAGCCCAGGAAGAAGAGGAGCAGACAGAGGAGGAAGTTGCTCATAAAATACTCAGTAGAGTGACAATTATTATAACGCCTGAAAGTGATCTCCTTCTCTCTGGACACCTGGACTACTAAGAGCCCTGCATTTGACCCTGATGAGCAGGCAGGCTTCTTATATGAAGAAAAATGTTGTCTGAGGAAAGGTATAGTCCATTCATCATTCCCCCTCGCCGTGACCCACAGGCCTCTACAGATGCTGTCATCATCCTGTCCAAGACAGTGTCTAAAGATGCCACTCCCCCTAATACAGGACTTTCCCTCCTCTTTGCTACCAGCCAGGAAAAATAGCCATAAGATCAGCAAATGAAGAAAGAACAGCCATGTTTTAGAATGACAATGTTTGGGGACAGACGTCAAGGCCACGTGAGCTGAACCACACAAAGGCTGGCTTGGCTCCTTAAAGTTGATTAGGGTGCAAGATCTGTATGTCTTATGAAATTTAGAAAGTGAGCCACAATTTGCTGCCCATCATCTGGTGTGCTCTGAGGCAAGCAGTGATTTAGATAACATATTAACTATTGTACTCTCGAGTTCATCCAAGGAGAATCGGAAGTACGCAGGAACCACTGATTAAGGTAAGTCTTGCTCAAGTAAACCTGGACATATCCCACCCATACTGAATTGCAAGCTTCTGCTTCATTTCATAAATGACTTTTCTCTCAGCACAAGTGGTCAGGGTCGCAAGTGTTTGGGACAGGCTCACAGCATTCTGGATGGAGGAAGGAATCAGAAGCAGATCTAGCGTCCCTGGTGCCCCTGCTCCTCCAGGGTCTCCGGTGCCAGGGCTGGGTACTGACTCCCCGGCAGCTGCACCCAGATGATGGCCAAGGTCCCCGAGTAGAAGGCAAGGCCTGGGAAGGAACTCTCAGCCGAGTGCTCACCACCAAGCATCTTGTGCCTCTGCCTTCCCTGAGTGGCCAAAAGGTGGTACAGTGTCACCATATCACAACAAACAAAAGTCTTTTCCTTATAATTTTCAGGTCACCTGTAAACCACCGCTGCTCTTAAATGGTTAAGAAATAAGAAATACCTCTTGCTATATAGCTCTAAACCTCGGAGAAAGCCTCTTAAATGATACAGAAAACATTTTTGGGGGATAGTAGAGCAAGAAGCCATTTAAGCACTAAAAAAAAAAAAGATAGAAGAAGACACACAAAGGAAATTGATGGCAGTGCCTAAATGCTAAATCACATTCACTGTCAACCAACAACTCTATAAGTCAGACAGTCTTGAGTTAACACCAGGGCTCTGCTGCTAGTGGCTGTAGGTCTTCAGACAAATTGTTTAATCTCTCTGAG